ATGATCAGTTTATAATTTTATCAGTGGCTTAATCAGAGGGCGATTTCGTTGATCATCGCTTAGTAATTTTATTGATTTAAAGCGAAATTAAATTGCATCGCGGCACTTATTATATAGTCTATAAAATTTTACAATATAAAAATCAATTACGTCATAATTTATAGGGGAGCGACATTGAATTGATACCATTTTTACGATTTTATATGATTTATTTATAGAGTGATAATTTTAAGAATCGCAACCCGCGATATAAATATTTATTCTTATTAATATAGCAATTTTTCAAGGATACTGTATATTTAATAAAAATAATTTATTCATCGCATGCGCGATATCATCGTCTCCCTTTGTCATCTGTGTCACGCCTCATTTTCATATATATTCTGAGAACAGAAAAATTTTTTAGTTGTAAAAAATCTATTCTTCACGCCTTGCGCTAAATGTCACATGATTTATTTTGGCCCGGCATTATATATTTTGCCTAGAGGCGATGCAACGCACGTGCGATAAATAAAATTTACTCTATTAAATATTAAATTTATAAAAAAAAAACATATATATAAAAATATAAAAAGGAATTAATGTGTTAATTTTTTAAGAAAGCAGAGATTACTGATGTTTAAACAAAACTAGAATCATTAATACATAGATAAGATATGCTGTAAAGTATTCTCCTTTAATAACAATCATCATTCATTTCATGCTTCCATATTCAGAATATTAGTCCTGCCTCTTCTTTTTAAGAATTTAATTGTATAAAGTCCTTTCACTTGTCAAAAAAGTCAGTTTTAATAAGGTATTATTATTATGCGATCTTACATAAACACCTAAAGGAGTTTTACTTTCCTAAAATTGCCTCTGGCTCTTAAATACCTTGTATTACCCCATACGATATTTAAAAAGTCCCGTGTCATGCTCATGCTAATTTGTCGTACTGTAAATCATTAACACCATGCACACATTGGTCTGAATTGCCGATCCTTTATAAAGATATTTGGTTTGAAAATTAGTTTGTACCATTCATTGTACGGGAATGTCTCCTGTTCAATACTAGTAAAGTTATTTTTATCCTATAAAATAAAGGTTCCAATAAAAGTAGAGGATTATTGATATAAATGCAATTATTCAGCTTCTTATAAAATTATATTATTGTTGTTGAAGTGATCGACCTTCAAAAACCTTTTCGCAGAATGTCGTCCAAACTCCGTTTTTTTTTACCGGAATCCAAGCTAGCGAGAAAGTTTATTAATATAGTAAGAGGATTGTATAATTTGCCGAAAATTATCCGCCCTTTGTAGGTCTCGAGGGAAATTGTAAAATTATGATGGGCAAATTTATTTCACCGGACAATTAAAAACCGGTCGGGCTCTCATTTCTCTCATTTAATGACCCGAAGCAAGTAGATCTGATTCCAATTTTTTTTCTTATTTAAATGCTAAATTCGATAGAATAGCCTTTCACATTACTTTATACATCTTTCATATAACATTCACCATTCAAATTATTTAATCATGAAAAAAACTCTTTTTATTATTCTCCTCGTAGCACTTTTTTCTACCAACTTAGTTGAAGCTGCTGGTATGAGTCCTTTATTATTCTAAAAAGAATTGTTATCATCATCGTTTTTTTTAATTTTTTTTTGCGATCCTTAAATTTACGACAATTTTATTATTGATAGGTGTAGGATCAAATTGTTCTAATGATTATCAATGTGATTCACAAATTTGTCGCTCGCATATGATTTCGGGTCGAAATCAATGCCACAGTAGTGATGACCGTCCTGTTGGAAGTGTTTGCCTTGTGAATCAAGCTTGTGATTCTTTATCATGTTACCAAGCGCATAAATCTCCTTCTAATAAAATATGTGGCCATTGAAAAATAAATACGTGAATAATTTAATCATATTTCATTATGTTTTCACCAACTATGTCAACTTAAATTATTATTGGCTCCCAAACCTAAAATAAAAAAAAAAAAAATCACGATGAAACTAATTTCTAAGAGTTGGGATAGCCGTTAGAATAGGTAGTCGTAACCTTTGTTTTCAACACTCTTTTTAAATTCTTCTGATTTTATTTCAATATTTGGAATTGAAAATTTAATAAAAAGTTTTTTACATTACAATATGCTATAATATGTGAATTTAATTTTACGTTCGGAAAACATAACTAAACGTGTTGAATTTCTTTTTTATTTACACAAATATTTGTCGGAACTGAAATAAAGGTTAGAACCGGATATAAAAATAAATCTGGTTCCAATCACTAGACTGAAATCTTCCCTATTTAACCGGTTCTGAATTAAATAATTGGTGGAATCGAATCGTTTGTTTTTTTCTCAAATTAGGAATTTTCAAAATTTGATGTCATAATAGAAATCGATCTTTCTTAAAATAGCAATATACTAATATATACTATTTTAGGAGTATAAAACAATCAACATTACGAAATATCTTGTTGATCTGATAACAATAGTAATCGTCGTGATTGAATTTCTGTGATTCTCTTGGCACTTGGTGAGTATAAATTCACTTTTAATCCTTTTATTTATTGGGATCTGTTCCGTTAAACGGATTGGGCTCAATGTCTGAGAAATCGCGTAAACCTGGAGTGGATTTTTCTATTGAGGAGAAGGGTCAATTACCTTTAAACTCAAACGACAATATAGAAGACCACA